ATTCTGGTGCGACGATTGAAGAAACTATCAAATATGATGCTAGCGGTTTAGTTAGTGCAGTAGAATACATATACGACGAACTACAAGGTAGTCCTAATAATGTGCAACGCTATCAAGAAACAATTACCCGTCAAGATTATGATAGATTGGCTGCATCACTTCAACGACCATCATTACCTTTTGATAGTTTCATTAGAGTGCTTTGACCGTTTATGAATTCTTTCATCAATATCGTGATAAAATTCAAATTGAGAATTTAAACAAAACTAACGATATCTTATTATTATTGAACGACAGTTATGATAGGTCAACAAGCATTTAAAGATATACCTGAAGCATTTCGTCTTTTAGATACAGATCAATCGAGCACTATTGACATTGGCGAACTGGCTATTTTTATGCCCATCCTTCGATCAGAAGCGACTCCGTATATGCTTCTTCGTCATATTAAATTATCCGATAAAGATGGAGATTACAAACTGAACTATGATGAATTTAATGCATTGCTTTTGGCTGGACTGGGACAAGATATTATTCTCGGACGTACCTGAATCTCGAACTTTGCAGAATAAATGTTTCGTGAATAGTTTTATTTCAGTCGAAAAATATATGCGAGTATCATCGAAGAACACAAGTGCCAGATGAAAATATGTCAAAGTAATTGAATGAAATCTGAAAAGAGGAGAAAGAACAGTGTAGGATGATCATGTGCAGATGACATGTCGAGAAAGTTAAATGTAATTTTTCAAATAGAAGCTTACACAATTAATTATAAAATGGCTTATGGAGATTTTTTGTTGTTAGGTATGTTAATTTTAACAATGATGAAACAATTTGGCAAAGCATATCTACTGAGAAATCAGGAAAATGCTTAAAAAAAAACAAAATATCATCTCGACAATAACTACAATCATTAATAATAAAAGTGTGACAGATATGAGCTTCTCAAGATCATTGAAAAAAATTCAGAAATAGTTCTTCTGAAGAATCATTGGAGATTTTATATATCAAAAATCCCGTAATGAGTTTTCTGTCTTCATTAAACTTCTTTATTCTTGAAAAGTAAAATTTCACATGAAAAAAAACTTTCGCAAGCACTTTTTGTTTTATGACAGAAAGAAAAAAAAACATGTGCAGCAAAGATTGGAATGAATCTCTCATTTTCAAAATAATTAATAGGTTTAACAATAAAAATATATTTGCAGTACTGTCATTTACGTATTATGTAGAAATTCGAGCAAACGCATCGAAGTTTATGTGTGTCGAGAATCATCTTATGTTCGAGTAAAAATTGTGGAAAATAAATGTTGAACAGTGTGCTTTTGATCTTAGTACACAAAGGCTACATTTATGAGATGACATATCTTAACTTCATGACATCTTTTACAGTAATTTCAGCTCAAAAGAAAGCCTGAAATGCAAGAAAATTTTGTATTTTTACTTGAAAAATCATTTCTTACAAAGCTATTGGCCATTCAGTTATATCAAGTTTCGGTATTAACTCAATTGATGCTCTTCTTTTCTTATCTAGTTTCTTTTCTGTAGATAAATTGGACAGCTAAATGAGAATGAGTGAGAAGGTGAGGAATAGAAAGGAATAGAGATGTACAAACGTTTTTAATACGAATCCCAAACGTGAGCAATCGATTAGTCAAAATACTAGAAAATGGAAACCAAATTCTTTCCACGGTAGAAATGATGCTTATCATGTGTCATCATCCGAAGGAGAATCCTTTATGAGATCTATGTCAACCATGTATTATATTATTCATGAAAAAACAGTTTTGGTTTCTTTTAGACTGAGTCGGTATAATGATCCAGCAGGAAATAAACACATCGTGGTCTTTGTGATTTTCACGAAGATTAATTGGATTTTGGTATGTGATTTGCACATCGATTTTTTGTACGTTTATCATCGCTGATTCAATGTACAATCTGCTTATCCTCTATCGATTGTTCAGATTGAAAGTCTGATTAAGAACAGTGTGAATGTGGGTGTGACGCGTAGCTGTCGCGAAAGTATCTGCTCGGGGAACATCTATTATAGAATTCTTTTAGAAATCGAAAGTTAGGTTTCTTCATTCTCATATCAATAATAACTTGTTTTCGTCAAACAACATTTATCCATTTGCAATCTATAAGTGATTTATTTGGTGATGAATTTTGTTTTGCATCCCCGGCTGCAATATTCGAAGACAAGAATCATGTTCTCGATTTGAATTTATGACATCGTTTTTGCCCGTATTCAGCATTGTAAATAGGGATCACTTAGGATAGTATTGGTACTTTAAAAAGACATTGTTGTTGAAAAATGGCGAAATATAAAATCAATAGGTACTACATTTTCAACAAAATAGCAATTTTTCGAAGTGAACATTTTTGGTGCCTTCATATTTCAATTGAGTCTACATAAGAATAAAGTTGTATTGAAATCCGTCATATCAATGGAACACATTATCCAAATTCCGATATTATCCACAGAACAGAAAACTAGAGTGAGAATGTTAGGATTAGTCAATATAAGAAAATTGACATGTGTTTACTGCACTAATGTGAGGATGACTATAATGATACTCAATGATAGAGGCATTTGTCAGTACTCTCTCCATCCACACTTATCTGCAATGTACACCCTTATAATAGTGTAATTTTCTTTTTTCAACAAAATTCACAACCCACATCCACACCTACATCCAGAACGAATGAATCAGTTGATTTTTTTCAAGTGAAAGCTATTCAACTTTGTTCAAAAATTTCATCCCATGATGTTTATTGAGAGAGAATATAATCAAATGTGTTCTTAGCATTCTCTATAAATAAGTTCATTAGCTATTTCCTATTCAAACGATTATAGTTGTCTAAAGACAATGTCTCTGCTCAGTTCCAACTTGATCATTTAGCAGAATTCAAATCGATCAATTTAGGTGCTTCGATTTGTGACGCCTGAACGCATGCAAACATCAATATACGGCATAAGAAAGCAATAATTAGAGGTATATAAAATTTGCCCTTTTTTTTCACTAAAAACTACCTGAGGGCAAACGATTGCCAAGAAGACTTAGAATTCATCAGCTATAATCATGTCATCGGTCACATATTAACTGCTACCGTATTTTCCTTTTGTTTGTTGCTCGAGAATATTGAAAGCTGCGCTGATGACTAACTAGTGTTCCTATTGATCAGTTAACGTGAAGACTTTCAAGACACGAAAGAAATCGGTCCATGGCAAGTTCGAAATTGACGTGTAAGTAGGTACTATAGCACAAGAAGTCAATAAAATACCATATGGTGATAGCTTAAGAATGTGTTATACTTACTGCTATTGTATTCGTGCTCCGTTATCATTCGACATTAGACATGTATGTTGTTTTCCAACAGTTCGATGCTGACACTCGTGATTCGACCACCGGAGGTGCTCTGCATGTATATCTAGAAACGAGCTTCGATCACATTGAAGATAGATGGAAGGAGAATGTTGCTATTTGTTTCATTAAATGTAACAATTAGGAATATCATGAAGGAACTTACTAGGCTGCATCAATGGCGAAGCCAATGTCATGCCAGATATATCTGATATTTTATACGAGTCAACAAGATATTCGGTTTACTTTGATCTGTAATGGAATCAGAATACCTTACATACGATACGAGCAAAACCGTAATTGATGAGACTAAATGACATTATTTTTCGTTGACAAATTTTATCGTTAATTTACTGTTTATCTACGGCAACATCATAACATGAAATAAAGTGAAAGCCACATGACAGCGGCTGCCAGCGTTCAACAATATGAAACAAATGATTTTGAGTATGTAGACTTAAGTAATTCAAAGTCTTCTTTTCACTCTTACTACTGCACAGCTATATCTAATCAGTACAGAAGCTCGTATTTTATCATACTCTCTGTACTAAAAATTCTGTTAACTATGCCGAGGGTGATAATACCTATATCAAATTTGTCAAAGCGTCTAGGACAAAGAAAGTTCTGTCACTATTCAGTAATGATCAAGAATTTGAATATTTAAATTTATTGCTACTCCCCTGATCTATCTCATCTTTACGTTGACTCTTGAGAATTATACAGATTAGATCTATGGTGATTATTTCACTTGAACATACATCATACTATTCATGTTTTTTGTAATGATAATGTGGTCCAATAGACCTTAAATTACGAAGATAGGAGAAAGATCTCTATTCTATTTCACTGTTGTTGTCTTCTCTAGAGAATAAAAATGACTTCAAGAATTTTTTTTTCATTCATTTTATTATTGATTCAATGAAGTTGTTTTGTAAACGTTCATTTCTAAAAGTTACTAATAGAAGTGACCAAGTATCATATATTTATTTTCATTGGTTACTATGGGTTGTGCATTCTCAAACGACATAAAAAAGACGGGAACTGTAAAATTTTGCACAAGAAAAAATGACATGCTGATTGGCATTGACAAATGTATCTTACGATGACACGTTATCGTCCAGTAACATGTTCACTTAGATTTGCAGCGTTTGCCATAGTGAGAGATGACAATTTAGTATACAATTTTGACTTAGTTTTTATGACCATTGAATAAACGGTCATCTCGTTTGATTTCTCTTAGAAAGTTTTTCCATTTAGCTCTCATGTGTCTCGTTTTTTTTCGATTCTCTAGCAAGTTTGATGGCATCGACATGCAATTATTAACAGTGAAGTGAGACAAAAGGTGACCATTGACCAAATGCAATGTCAATTTACCTCAGATCAATGATCAAAGATTTTATTCAGTAGATTTTCACATTTATTTTTAAGTAGGAATTAAAATCATTGATGTTCTTATGAGAAGAGTCGCTTTCGTTGATTCTTTATTTTATAAATGGTCTACTATCTACTCGAAGAGAAAAACAAACTGCGTCAACTCGATGAAATATTTGTTTAGTTTTATTTATGATACTTTTGGAAATATTCGATATTGTAAGTTTGAAGCCGTCCCGAGAGTTGATCCATGCACAATTTCTTCTCTTACGATGAGTTTTTTTCCTCGACTTGTTTCGACTGACGTTCATAGTCGAGCCATTTTACTAACGCAGTTAAAGTTTCTTTTGCATATACACGAGTGAACCATTCGGAAGGAATCGTTTTATAATATAGTGCACCACCGACTTGAAGATAGAGTGTAACAATAAGTGTCTGATTTGAATCATAAGGATTGAGCCATTTGCATTCTTGTTCTGCCGATTGATTGAAAGTGAGCGCTTGTTGGACACCCTGTTTAATATCATTGTTATCGTTTTGAAGAACATCGATCAATTTAATCAAGGCAGTACTCATAGGATCACATTGACCTATTGGAATATGAATTGACTGGAGTATTTCCTCTTTTGCTTGGCCGTTAAGAGCGCTGACAAGTAGTTCAATATAGACGACAAAGATTTCTATAGATATCTCTTGACCAAACATTGCTCGAATGCAGTTGGTAATTACTTGAAGACGGATTGAAGGTAAATGATTCGCATAGAAGTAGGCAATGGGTGAAATGCGAAGAAGAGCAGCCGCTGGAGGTGGTGGAGGAGCTGTATAACTTTTCTCATCAGTGATCACTCCGATAGAGTCAGCAGCTTGAACAATACTCATTTGTTCAATAGTCTGTTTAATATGCACATGTGGAGTGAAACAGACACCCGTTGGCGACATGAAACTAAAATGTCGAAATCACATTTTTATTGAAATATTCAATTGAGAAAAATAATATGTTCTTACCCATTCATCCACCAATTCATATATTGTTGAGCTAGATGTTCTCTTGAATAACCTCCATAATAAGTCAAACTAACAATAAAACATAGTGTAAGTGAAATATCATCTGACCAGGCTAAACACAAATCCGTTTGATCAGAGCATTCACGTTCTAGTTCGATATGATCGAGAAGATAGGTTTCAATCGAATAGTTACTTAGATTGTCTCCCAAGGTTAAGCAAAGGATGGATGCCAGAAGACGATCATTGTTGTTACTAACTGGAGGGTTCACTGGCGACATCTGAGCTGGAAGAACCTGCATATCGACCATCCAATCTTTACTAATAGGATCGGACGACATTATTCTTGTTCTAGAAACAACGTGCGTTTTGTCGAGTAAAGAAACAAACAAAATGTGTCGAATGAATAGCCTGTGATAAAATATACATTTTATCTCTTCTCTTTGCTTGCTTTTCTTTTTCTTAGTGTGTTAAAATGCGGATGACCTTCGAGTTCCTAACTTCTTTAACATTATCTTACGCTTTTTTAGTGAGCACACAAACACTAGAAACTTTCCGTAATGCAACACTTGCATAATGTATTCCCTAATTTGATGTTACAAACTCACCTAAGTTAATTTTCAACAGTGAAAAAAAGTATATTTGTTCTCATTGATAATGCCATGAAACAATTAAATGATGAAGTACAAAAACAAAAAATAATCTTCGTCAAACAGAACACATGAGCCAATGCATTCTCGTTATCATGTTGATTTTTATTTTCTTACTTTTTTTTAATTTTTTTATTGAATGATATTGTCGACAAGAAAATGGTGCTTAATCAAGAACAAGTTCAAGAAAACGTTGCTAATGCTTGTAGAAAGAAATAGATAATACGCAGGATATCTTGGGTCAGGATTCGAGTTTTTCCCGAATGGATTCGCCCCATATACCTTTCCAACCGAGATAAACACCCTTCCAAGTCGATTTTCGCAAGATCCATCCATCCCGACCATTCCTTGCAAACTAAACCCTTCCTGAGACCCGAAAACCGCCTAAAACGACAAAAAAATGCAGTAAAATACGACGGAATTCCGTAGGACCTGCCGTGATTCGCTCAGAAGACCTTTCCAACGTAACGATAAAACTTTCTAAGTAGATCTTGATGCGCTCTATCTAATGGACACCTTTGAGTTCGATATGATGCTCTGGGCCCTTGAAAACTGGCCTAACCAGGGCCGAATTTTTCAGGTTTTCCATAACCCATTATGAATCGCTCAGAAAACCTTTTTAACGTAATGATAGAACTTTCCAAGTAGATCTTGACGCGCTCTATCTAATGGACACTCTTTCAGTTCGATATCATGTTCTGGACCCTTCGAAACCTGCCAATCCAGGGTTGGATTTCGCAAGTTTTGCCACAAGCCGTTATGAATCGCTGAGAAAATATTTCCAACGTAATGATAGAACTTTCCAAGTACATCTTAAGGCGCTCTGTCGAATGGACATCTTTTGAGTTCGATATCATGCTCTGAACCTCTGGAAACTGGCCAGTTCAGGGCCGAGTTCCTCAGGTTTTCGTACAAGCCATCGCGCTTGGTCCGGAAGACCTTTCCAGCTCAGTAATTAGCCTGTTCAAGTGGATCTCAGCAAGGTGTATTGAATGCATACCTTTTGAGCGCGGCTTCGTGCTCCCGTTAAGGAGAACGCGGCCAATAGAGACGCGGATCCTCACGTTTTTTTGTAAAAGCTGTCGCGATTCGTTTCAGAGACGTTTCCAGTTGAATGATTGACCTCGCCACGTAAATCTGGACTACATTCATCGTACTCATTTTTTGTCATGCTTGCCTCCATGCTTTTTAGTAGTGAAAATCATCGAAAGTCTCAGAACGCGCATATTTTTGCAGGAGTCTCGTGAGTTTTAGCTATGCACTGCTTGTGATAATATTTTTGTTACCTGAGTTATATGTGATTCGATTGGCCGCAATTCATACTGCTTTTATAAGACAATCCTAGTAAAATGGTTTCGTAGTCGTACAATTGTGTTCCGTTATTTACACTTGTTTAAGTAGTTTTAACATGTTTTTCTTTTTATCGATCCCAGGTCGAATGGTAAGGCTTCGGTAAGCGTACGGCACAATAGAAGATTCAGTACGTGTGCGGTACACAAACGAAATGCGTACCGCATGGTAGATGTATATCTTATACGTACCACGAACAACTCTCCGATAAGGAGGATACTTAATCAAACTACGGTTGTACAAGATCATATAAAGAAAGGAAGACCGTTAGATTTATTTATTGGTTTTTTTCTCAAAGAAACCAACCCAATTTTTCCCCAAAATTGAATGATCTTGTTGTTTAGTTTTTACATAAAATAACTAGAAAGTATCTCAGCCTTCCTTTCGATATCTCGAAATCTTATAGAATGTATTTAATTACTTTTTGAAAATTCATCTTTTTTTTTAAATATGGCTTTCAATTTATTTTACCTGAATTCTGTGAGATTTTCTTCTTGTATTTTATTGTATTTAGCAAAAAAAATAAATTGAATTCGAAGTAATTCTCATTATTTCTTTATTTTAAGGGGAGGTAATAGAAATTTAATATACTCTATTTTTTTCATTGATTACACAGAATTAAAGAAATTTGTACTATGAAATTCGCTTTGCATTGAAGATAAAAATGAAATATTGCTATTATAATGAAGTTATATATGTGAATTATTTTTTCATTGATATAAGCTTAATATTATTATTTTATTTGACTTAAATAATGTATTTTGACAAAACGATGTTTCATTTCAAAACAATGTAAAATGATTTTAAGGGCTCACTTTAATTTACAAACATTAAATAATTCATAAAAAAACACATGCAGTTGTAAATTAAACTAAAATTAATTTTTATCTGTTTTACTTTATTTAAATTAAAAAATTAATTAATCAAAAACATTTATTTACCATTAAAATATGATAAAATTATTGTAGCTATTTTATACCTGTCAAGAATAAAAAAAAATACTTTTTTTTTGTAATTTATTTTATTTATAATTATGTTATGATAGACTTAACATTATATCTGATTTTACAATGATATAAAATATTTTAAGTTTTTCTGTATTAAGATAAATTTATTTTCAGGCTAGTCATTCTAACTTAATTTAATTTATTTACAAATTATTTTTTAAAATTCATACTTTCATTAATATTTGCTGTAACGGTTAACTCTATCACTCTGATCTAGGGATGCAACGGTGACGATTCGTCACCGCTTGATCGTAGGAATCGGTAACCGTTGAACCGATAACCGGTGAACCGGTAACCGGTATGAACCGGTAACTGGTGAACCGGTAACCGGCCTGAACCGGTAACCGGTGAACCGGTAACCGATAGGAACCGGTAACCGGTGGACCGGTAACCGGTATGAACCGGTAACCGTTGAACCGGTGACCGGTCTGACCCGGTAACCGTTCAACCGGTAACCGGTTGAGACCGGTTACCGGTTCACTTGCATAGTAGTTTATGTTTAAAACTATATTTTGATATAAAGCAGGTATCCATAATTAGGGGTGGGAAGTTACCGTTACCAGTTACCGACGAACGGGGTAACGGCCATACTATTGCGGGATACCCTTGGGTCCTCAAGTCCTACTATTGGGGGCACCTTTGAGTCCTCAAGTCCTACTATTGGGGGGTATCCTTGGGTCCTCAAGTCCTACTATTGGGGGTACCTTTGGGTCCTCAACTCCTATTATTGGA